TCTGGTGGTGATCGGCGATGGGAACAGGACAGTGAAATCCGGAAGTTCCTAGTTACAGACTGACACACAGGTGGTGGGTGTGTGATACAGTCATCTTGCTTGAGGATTGAGGTGGGTCGAGCATCTCGGCAGCTGCACCCATGACTGAGCAATCCTTTTGAGGATCCACTCTGCTCACCCCACACGGGGAAGGGGTTAGAAAAGGTACCCTAAAAATAGTCTTGCCTCTGTTTTTCCTGGCTGGATAGCCGCATCCAGCAGGATCACCACCTCAGTGGTCGAAAATGTAAGAAACTCTTCAACTTTGGAATTTGGAATGTACGTACCCTGATGGACAACTCAAACAGTGACCGACAAGAGCGACTGTAACAGGGTTGGGACTTACCACCGTGGCGCCTCCTACTGGTTGTTCCGGGAATTAGCTCAGTCCAGTGGAGCGCCCCCTCCTAGTGGTGTCCCGACCGTCGCCTCACCCTCGGTTGGCATGTCTGAGCCCACGTCGCTTACCAACTCGCGGTGCCCTCTTCGGGACCACTGCCCTCCAGCAGTGCCCCTCTGTCTTTCCATACCCCCTTCCGGGGGGGCGGGGGTCAATCAGCAGTCTCCTCATCCAGCCACCGTAGTCAACCACACCCCCCCAAAGTCTAATCCCTCCCATCGGGATCTGGCGTGGTCTGTACTGGCCGCTCCCTACGGCCAATGGCTAGATGTACTGCAAGGGGGTAGGGGGGGACCCAGGCCCGCCCTCTACTCTGGGTCCCGACCCAGGGACCCTCTGGTGGCAGCCTCACCGTCGTCCTACTCTCCCCTCGTCTGTCTGCTTCCCTGAGCTGCTTCCCCTACGGCCCCTTGCACCCGCTAGGCCCTTCCACTCAGAGCCTGCAGCCTGGCAAGCCTCAGGCTAGAGCTCCCCTCTGCTCCCTGAGCCTGGCCAGCACTGTGCTGTCCGCGATGCTAGTCTCCCAGTTTGGAGATAGACCTTCCCCTCTCAAAGGCCTGGGACAGACTGACTGCTCTCTCCCTGTGCAGTCTTTTATAGGGCTGAGCCTGGCCCTGATTGGCTGTCTCCAACCTGGGCCCTGATTGGCTCCCAGTAAGCCCTTCTCTGATTGGCTGTGTGTTTGCGCAGGCCCACTGGCCTGCCACAGCCCATAATCTCAGGGAGTGGGGCAGCCGCCCCACTTCAGCGACATACAGCCATTATTGCTTATGAATTGAGTCAGTTTAACATCGATATTGCTGCTTTGTCTGAAACGAGAAAAGCTGATGAAGGACAGGTGATGGAGGAGAAAGGAGGATACACCTATTTCTGGAAGGGAAAATCTATAGATGCACCTCGATTGCATGGAGTGGCCTTTGCTATAAAGAACAAGCTTGTAAGGTACCTCTCTGAGGTACCAGTTGGCATCAATGAGTGGTTTATGACACTCCGATTGAGGCTCACCAAAAATCAACAGGCAAGTATTGTGAGCACCTATGCACCAACACTGGATGCCGATGAAAATGTAAAGGAAGATTTTTATTCTCAGTTGGAAACCATTTTATTGGAGACCCCTACAGAAGACAAGATCATCCTTCTGGGGGATTTCAATGCACACGTGGGACGACGTAGAAAGAAACAATCGGGAAAGAAGGAGTTGGCAAAAGCAATTCAAATGGAATTCTGCTCCTGACCAAGAGTGCTGAACATAAACTTATTGTTATGAACACTCTCTTCCGACAAAAGAAAAAGTTCAAAACATCTTGGAGACACCCACGGTCAAAGCACTGTCATCTTCTCATCTATGTTATAGTTCGTGCCCGAGATCGTAGTGACATACTTTTCACAAGAGCAATGACAAGTGCTAATGACTGTTGGACTGATCATCGCCTTATTCAATCCACAATCAAAATTAAGATTGCTCCCAAATGGAGGCTGCAAAAGAAGCAGGTCAGGTGCAAGTTGAAGATTCAAGATTTGAAGGACCCTATTAAGCATGACCACTTCCAAGCAGCCTTAGAAGAAAAGCTCCCATCAGAGTTTCCGGAAGAAATTGAGGAACACTGGAGCCAGTTGAAAGCAGTAATCATCAATGCCTCTGAGGAAACCATAGGCTACCAAACCAGAAAACATCAGGACTGGTTTGATGAGAATGATGCTGAAATTGAACAACTCATTAATGAGAGGAGAATGGCATTTCGTGCTTGGCAGAATGACATAAATTGTAATATAAAGAGAGAAGCCCATGCCAAGGTGAGGGCGGAAGTCCAACATAAAACCAGAGAACTCAAGAACAAATGGTGGACTGAGAAAACACAAGAGCTCCAACATCTCGTGGACATCCACAATACATGTGCTTTCTTTAGTGCCACCAAGGCTGTTTATGGGCCAATTTGCCATGGTATGAATCCTCTTCGCTCTAAGAATGGAACCACACTTCTGAAGGACAATGAAACCGTCAATTCTTGCTGGAAAGAACATTTTGAAGATCTCCTTAACCGTAATTCTACGGTTGCAGATGAAGTCCTTGAGCAAATCCCTCAATGACCATTTAGGGATGAGCTCAGAGACCCTCCTAATTTGTATGAGGTACACAATGCCACCAAGCAGATGAAGAACAACAAGACAGCAGGTCTAGATGGGACCCCTGCTGAAATCTTTAAAGACGGTGGACCAGAGCTAATTCGGCAGCTTTACCTGCTTATCCTTAAAATCTGGATAAAGGAGGAGATCCCCAGTGAAATGAGGGATGCCCTGATTGTCACCCTCTTCAAGAAAGCGGATAAAGCAGATTGTGGAAATTATTGTGGTATATCCCTCCTAGCCATTGCAGGCAAAGTTCTGGCGCGGATCCTTGCAACTCGCCTTCTGCCCTGTCAGAAGAAATTTTACTGGAGTCACAGAGTGATTTCTGACCATGTTGTGGAACTGTGGATAAGATCTTCACAGCACGGCAGCTGCAAGAAAAGTGTCGTGAGAAAAACCAACCACTGTATGTGGCTTATATTGATTTAACTAAAGCCTTTGACTCAATGAATCATCATGCCCTCTGGACTGTACTCTCTAAGATTGGATGTCCTGATAAATACATCAAGGTCCTAAATTTGCTTCATGATAACATGAAAGCGACTGTTCTGAGCAGCACTGGCTCCCAGAGCGAACCTTTCAAAGTACAAACAGGAGTCAAACAGGGCTGTATCATCGCTCCAACCATATTTGCGGTTTTTATCGCCGTCATTCTTTACCTAGTTGCTGGGAAGTTTACAACTGGTGTTGAAATCATTTACAGAATGGACGGAAAGTTGTTCAGGCTTAGCAGGCTGAAAGCCAAGAGTAAGATCTCTACAACATATATTGTGGAACTTCAGTATGCTGATGACAACGCAATCTTTGCCAACTCTGAGAAAGATCTTCAAACTATCTTGAATGTGTTTGCCAATGCTTACGCACGTCTTGGTCTCACTCTTAATATCAAGAAGACTAAAGTGCTCTATCGGCCCTCTCCAAATGAGGTATTACATGCCCCATCTATCAAAATCAATGGAGTGGCACTGGAGAATGTCGATCATTTCCTCTAACTTGGAAGTCATCTTTCATCGAAGGCAGATATTGATGCAGAAATTCAACATTGCCTGAGCTGTGCCAGTGTAGCTTTTTCTCGTTTATGGCACAGGGTTTTTAAAGATCACGACATTTGAACAGACACCAAGCTTCTTGTTTATCAAGCCGTTATTCTCCCAACACTGTTGTATGGGTCCGAAACTTGGACAACCTATAGTCACCACTTGAAAGTCCTTGAGAGGCACCATCAACGCTGCATTCGTAAGATTCTGAAGATCAAATGGGAAGACAGGCGCACCAATATTAGTGTCCTGAAAGAGGCAAAGACCATTGTATTGAGGCAATGATCATCTGTCAGCAATTCCGCTGGACTGGTCACGTTGTCCAGATGCCAGACCATCGCCTCCCAAAACAGGTCCTGTTCTCTCAGCTGAAAGAAGGGTACTGTAACGTGGGTGGACAACGGAAGTGTTATAAGGACTTATGGAAGGACAACCTAAAAAAGTATAATTTTGACATTGACACTTGGGAGACACTTGCCCAGGATTGCTTAAAATGGAGTGAAGTCCTACATGATGGTCCCCTGCATTTTGAACTTGCTCGCCGACAAGCTGAAGAAAACAAGAGGCACAGAAGGAAGGAGAGACTGGCTTCCAGTCATGGTCAACAGCCTCCTGCTGAGCCTGAAAACATCTGCCCTCATTGCAATAGAACTTGTGGTTCAAGGATTGGCCTTATTAGCCACTTGAGGACTCATAACTCCCATAGAAGATGATCATACTTGGTAATGAGTGATCGCCCATCATCATCATCACATGGTGTTTGATAGACAAAGAGACATGGTCCCTATCCCTAGGAGCTTAGGCCCAGGTCCTCAAAGGTATTTAGGCACTTAACTCGCATTGATTCCAAAGGTAGTTAGGTGTCTAAATTCCTTTCAGGGTCTGGGCCTTACATGTTTCTTCCTCTTCTCCTAAGCCCTATGGAAGCACCTCAGAATTCAGTGAGGCCTGGGGCCAGGAAAGCTGATGTGTGGCCATATAAGCTCCAATGGATTTTCCCTTCCCAGCTTTCAGGACAAAGCTGTGGAAGTTACTGCAGACAGTTTGCAATGGCTTCCCCTGCCCCCCACAGTGGGGAACTTTCCTGGAATGGGCCCTTCCAGGGATACCCTGCATTTGTGGAAGCCCTTGGCAACATGTCTCATGGAGCATGCGCAGTTGTATGGACAATGAACCTTCATGAGGAAGAGAGAACAAGGCCCTGTGAGTATTGTAATTTGGGGAGGAGAGGCAAAATTTCTGGCCATAGAGGAGGGAAAGGATGGATTAATGAGCACAAAAGATGGGACTGGGAAAAGGAGAGAGAGGGTATGGAGAAGAATGTGATGCATATTCAACAGGGGAGAGTGAGATAGTGAATAGAAAGATCATAGGTGATGTTAGCAGAGTAAAACAAGCAGAGAAGCTTGTTTGGTTCAAGTGATATCAGCTGCCTGTTGGGCTAAGGCCTGGGGTCTAGAGCAACTGCCTGGTAGGAGCCAGGTCACATGAGCAGAGGAAAGAGAACTAGCGGAACTGGTTCTCTCCTGCCTGTCAGTTCCTGCTGTTGGAGTGGATCAGTTTTTTCCCCTTTCATTTCTCATCAAAAGTAATGTAATAGTTTCCTTGGGTTCTCCCCCCACCCCCCACATCTATTTAGCATCAAGGTCTCACGTATGTTTTTTGGAATTTCTGCACTGCCCCCATTCCACGCACATGCACACAGTTCTTCCTCTCCCTCACCTCTGTAGAAATCTTTAGTGTATGCATCTGAATGCTTCCAAATTACTTATTGAAACTCTGATTTGTATTGATTCTTATGATGTAGTCTGTTGAATCTAATTTACTGCCATCTTCTACATTCCAGATTTCCTATATACTCAAGGGAAAATACATGCATGTGTTTGTATACATCTTTATACATACTTTGGATGATTCAGATTCTGTTTCTTCGGGACACTTTTCTTCTCTGGAGCGATTCATCTTAGAGTATTTTTTTAATGAAATTCTGAAGATAAAAATAGTCTTTGTAAAGCAGGTATTTTTGAAACACCTCCTTCTCTGTTTTGATTCCATTCTTTAATGACTACTCTTGAGGTTCAAAACACAGCACTGTACACTTTCCACTGTTGTTGATTTAAATAGCCTGGCATCCCACCGCACCACCTTTTGCACCTGCCACTTTATCGGAGGCAGCTGCTGCCCTAGGCTGCTATGCTAAGTGGCACCCAGGCAGACATAAACAGGCTGCAAACATGTGTTCAAGCTTGTCACTATTGTACGTCTACTAATCTTTTCAGAAACAGAACCATTGTCATCTTTATCAATTGTATTCTGATTCAGAGCAAAATATTTCTTATCTTTCATTACTGCATTATAACCTGAAGTGTGCAATACTGTGCTTTATCTATATCTTCATTGATGTAGGTTAACTCTTCAATTCCTAGGCTATTCCAGATTTATTGCTCCTGTTGTCCAGTCATATTGCAAAAAACAATTGAATCCTATTTCTATAATAATTTGATTTCTTTTCAACTTTCATAGTAAAAATAAATATAAGCTGAGACACAAACATAAAAGACCATTAAAGCGTCTCAGAAGCTCCACTGAGGCAGAATGATTTTGCTTTACTTAAACCACTTGAAACGTTTCACTGTCCTTCACTGACACTTTAATTTAGCCACAAGAGCTCTCACAGAAATGTTTTGCCCTTTAAGACCTAGACTAGATTCACTAGTCAATCTTCATTGCAATTACACATATCTGAAATTAAATCAAGCAACTACTGATGCCAAATCATTGTATCACCTAGACAACTTAAGCTAAGTTATTTTTAAACTTCTACACTGTTCTAAAATCTGCAATATTTGCTTAAACTCACAGTTAATTGCCCCTTCAGTGGCACTGCCCTTAAGTCCTTGAAGTGTTTCTTATACAGTATTTGTTTTATCTTAATTGTAATGATTTTGCTTCTTTGATTTTTTTAGTACCCTCTGCTTTGTCATAGATGTTCTTGCACTTTACAAAACTTCTATTTTTTGAGGTCAGAGGAAAGGGATGCAATCTATTGTTGTTATTAATAGAGTTGTTATTAATGGTTCCCAATCCT